TCAAAATATAGCGTGATCATATTTATTTTTAACCTCGGTGTACCCTAACCAAACAATGGAGTCGGAATATGAAATTTGAAACCATCAACACAAATTTAGGGTTATTTGTTTTATCAACAACATTACCTGTAAAGCTCTTTTCTCATATAAAACTTAGCCTTATTCTATTTGCGAACATTAATGGAGAATCGTAAACAGCACATTACGAAGTTAAAGGTAAAATTTCTAGATTAATGTAGAGTGGTGAAATTTCTTTTGACCTAGTTTGATCTAAGATATGCCCGGTAATTTCGCTTAGTTACGCATTTGCAATTCTGTCTTCGACAAGGTTTAAATTAATTTCCTTGCAAATTACTGTATATGCACAAAAACTTGTTTCAGCTACAAACGTCTAGGGTATGGTAGGGCCTGGACAAATGATGCGTTTTCATTCCACAAATAAGAGTTGGTAAATGTCTCACGTTTGCCAAACATATCTAAATATAGTAAAAGATTGGTCTTTTTAAAGATGGTTCATAACTTCTTTTGCTCCGAACAAGGCCGTGTACAAGTAGCCAATGATATCTAACGATATTTAATTATTGATGTTTGCAAGTCAACTAAAAAGTTTTAAAGTCTTCGTTTAAATATGGAGATGATATACTGTTTTTACTCAATTTGTAGGAAGAGTATGATTAAACTATAATCGTATATTATACCAACTTTTGAAAACCGTGTGAATGCGGTTTTCTTTTCTAAAATAGCCTTAGGTAATATGTTGGGTTGATTAACTCATAAATCATAATATTAAAAAGTATACATTTCAGGTCACCGTCAACATTTTACTTAGACTTTCCATTTTTAAGCACGAGTTGATCTGAACAATTCTATTAATAACCTCTTACAAAACCTATTCTTTATTGAAGATGCCAATAAATCGTTGCGTAAAATCAAAACTATTTTCCTAGAATGCCTCAAAAATCATGCAAGTCAATAACAAATTTCGAATATTGCATTCCGTGAGTAATAGTTTAAAAACATTTTATTTTTACCGATCAATAAATTCGAAACGGTTGATACAACAGAAGTATTAAAACAAAACAAAAAAATTGCCTACGATATTTTGACTTTGTTGTACTCGACTATTTTAGTATTTTAACAAACACTTGGAGACTAAAAAAATATGAAAAAAAATCAACTTTTTGGTCTCCGTAAACTTGTTGAGAAATAATATACGAATGATAAAAGTCATTTAAAACATCAATTTATCGCTCCAAATTATTATTAGACATTACTGTTAAATTGACAGAAACATAAGCTATCAATCTCAATTGGCGTCGATGCGAGTGAAGTGGGGTAAGTTAAGTCGAAAGCAAGCTTTTATCAGTGGCGAAGCGCGACTGCAAAATTCCTAACCCAGAATTAGGTTTCTGTCACTTAATTTTACCCTAACATTATTGACTATGTGCTCAGTCAGATTAAATTGCATATTTTCACTGGACATCATTACCATTTCATCACCATAGGGTTGTACCCATATGGCGTCAGCTTAATTTGATATTCAATAGTCTCACCCGCTAAGTTACAATCAAATTGTTGACCTATAGCCATGCATACAACACCAGAGCATACAAAAAAAAAAACTAATAACAGTAACAAAATCGATATTAGCAACTAGGAAGAAAGAAATTGTATGAGATGCCGCTGGAAATAAAGCTACATTAGTTCTATCGTTAATTACACCATATCTACATTAGAGTAGTGGTTGAATTCTTTATTAAATGCATTTAAATTAGTGTCCCGACCATGGTTTTATACTGCAAATCTGATTAATGATAATTCCTTTTCTTTCGTTAATGTTAAACTACCCAAGAAAAACTTCCAACGATACACGTCATATGACCTGACATATTCCTTACTACAGATTCCCAGTTCAAGTACTGAGTGATTTTCTTAAGTTTCGCTTTCATGGTTTGTCCTGGAATTCTATTTTGAAGACTTGGGTACTTTTCTTAAGATTATAAAACGTGCAGTATGCACGACTCATTTGAACATTGGAAATAAAATGAAGTAACATCATAGCACGCGAAGACATTAAATGTCAAGAAAATTCCGATGACGATATTAGATAGTCTCAATCAGCATACTCATAGAACTTTAAGGCTTCACTATAGTCTAAACCAGTGATTCTCGAAGTATTGCAATATCGGTATAGTGCATTCTCGAAAAAGTTAGAATTATCGCACAACCAAAATAAATTTTACGAAAGATTTGTATATTCTGGTGCTAGTCATCTGAAAAATACACGCTCATTTTTGACAAAGTCGAAGCATATATTATTTCATTTCCAACATTTTGTTTGTTAGAAAAAGGATTTTAGCGATCGGGGCGACTAAAAATTTAGCTGACCAAAATGACTTCAAATATTAAAAAAACTCGTTGAAGATTCCAAGATTATCTGACTCAGCTTCAAAAACACTGGACTTAACTGCATACTATGTCATAGTATAAATTTAATATATAATCAAGGTATTACTACAAATTTGAGCTAAAAGGTTAAATGTATTGCTAACCCTTCGATTTCTTGCTTTGTCAAATATTGACGGAGGCAGTAGATATGGAAGTCATAAATTGCAACATTTTACTAATAATCGGATAAAATTTTCATTAATTTGTAATAAGTAACTAAATACCCCAATTGTCTAAAAACTCGTCTATATTCACTTTTGGTAGAATTAATCAACGTGTCAAAAAAATTAACTGAAATGAAAACACATCTTAATCAATATGTTTTGCATTCTGCATTCAGCAGGATTCTGAAAGAAGTCTGTTCCATAGTTTCCTAATTTCCTCAATATGATATATATCTGATAAAAAATTTTTAACCGAATTCTTCAGCATGTTCATTTCAAATGTGTGTTTTACGCGTTTTGCGTTGGAGAAAATCTTACTAGGTTATAGATGGTATATATTGATTTCCCAATAAGTAATTTTATATTCGATTTTACTCTTTTGTAGTGAAGTTTTACCTGAAAATTTTAACTGCCCAAAAATAATCTACCTGTGTCTTTTGTGGGAAATCTTCTTCTGCGATGTTCGTGGATTTTTTAAATCAGAGTTGCGTGATTGTCAACCTATGGAAATAGCTATCTTTTGAAACAACATATTTAAAGATATATATTTAATATATTTTATCCTTATCATATCAACTTTTTTCGTACCGGGTCTTGTGTTAACGCATTGAACAACTTGAATCCGTTTGGCCGCATGAGGCGGTAGAAAGCAATTGGTGAAGAATCATCGTAAGATAAGAGTACGTAAGGAAATCCGCAGAAGTCGGTAACGTTGGTCTACATTACTTCAGCAAAAATATCTTGTTCATGTCACTCCATAGAGGCCAATCAATGCCATGCGTTGTGTTTTATTTTACTGACTATACACAGATTTTACACATTGCATTCTATTACCATGCATTTAATATTACCAAACGAGATTTATCAATAGTTCGAAGACAACCTTATGAATCCGGTATTCCTCGAGTATAGTAGTTTTCATTTTTTTAAAAGTCAACTTCACACACCGCCCGGTATAAGCGTATGCTTATCTTATATTCCGTGGGATGACGCCAAAGCGTCACTTCTAATCAATTTTCTCGCATGTGTGCCAAATCAAAGAAATTTCTCGCTTTTTGTGGATTTGTGTCTAGTAGAGGGCTAAGCGTTAATAATATTAGACAATTTTCATTTTGTTCCTAAAATTGGAATTTAGACATAAAATACTGTATTTCAACATATTAGGGCAAGTCAATGACTAATTAAATTTAGAACAGACGTATATAATGTATTCAAATGTACAAAAATTAACGAAAATGTTTACGCTTGAACGCAACAAATTTTTTTTGAAAATGATGTACATCATAACCAAGTAAATTTTGATGAATTTTCAGCCCTTACTTCGGGAAATATAAAAAAATTATATTGTAAAACTATGTCTTTTGAGAGAGAGATGAAATTATTCAGCAAATGTTCAAAATATGCCATCTCCACAACCAGAAAACTTACGAGAGAGACACATGGTTTATATTCACATCTGTCCCCATTCCAAAGTTCCGACAAATTATCACAACTTGTACAGTTATCTGTTACAATATCTGTTTGCATCACCGTTTAATATAAACCATAGTCACATCAATCATATTTGTTCAGTAGATGAAGTAATAATATGCATTATATATATACGGATTCCGCTTTATAGATGAACAAACTAAATATTATAAAACGTTTCTGGGTTAATATAGTTTCACAAATCACAAAAGTAAAAATGATAATCTGTCAATGATATACATTGAATGACACGACACAAAATATGGAATCAATAAGAACAGCGACATGCAAAACAATTATAATTCAAAAGTAACTTAGTAACAGTATCAGTATGTTGTTGCTTTTATATTAGTATCACCCGGGTTTCAATTTATTTTTTAAGAATTCCAATGGAAGCCACGAGATATTAAAAATATATTACACTCTGGCATATGGATAAATGTCATTCAACAACACTGTCTATTCAAAATTATGCATTGACCAACCAATAATTTTTGATAAGAATCGCATATTTGTTTATTATTATTATTAATACTCTTTGGTATTAAATACGTAATAAAAATTCACAGAATTACAATCAAGTCTACTTTCCAAGTATTTTGAAGGCTTGCTTCCTAAAATGCAGTAAAGCCCACTTACAGAAAAATGACTTGAAATATCATATTACAGAAATTGAATTATGAAACAATGGAATTTTTTGAATACTAATATAAAATAATAAATTGATGGCGTTTATTGTCTTTTTCCTCAAGTTTAATTTTTTTTTCTATACTGAAATTTGAAAATTTTGTTTTGAACGAAATTTACCTTTGGTAATTTTAAACCAATGTTTGTGTATGGACAAAATGTACTACAGCACAAATACGTCTGCGATCTTTAGATAACCAACTATACGTTTATTTCATTTACATGTATGTACCAATATAAAAAGTTTTCAAATCCGTTAATGTCGCTCATACTCTAGCAAAACGGATCTTGTCGTACATGAAAATATCTCATTGTTATTTTCACAACTTCTGTTTGGTACGTTTACTGAATCCAAGAAAATGTTCGTTATGTCCATTATTCCTTCATTTAAATAGACTTTTCCTCTATTACACGCATGTCCTGGCTCTCGCCTTTTTTATTTTGCTTCTTGCATTTGGGCAGAGCATATTCAAGATGGCGTCGAGTTGTTCCTTTCAATGGGGTGCTTCCACACCAACTGATGGTTGTGCTCATCTAAAATTTATTTTATGAATTTATTTTAATATAAATGTTTTGTGGATTATAAAGCTAAACTATATACCGTATTTCACGGCGAATAAGTTTACTCGGTGAATGAGACGAGGCCCGTTTTAAGCCTGAAAAAATGGCTTTTCGCATTTAACCTGCCAATAAGACGAGTAGTAGAATCGCATCAAGATCGGAATCTCAAATTACCATGCAGAGGCTTATGAGCGGCCTCTTTTGCGCATTGGTTAAAACAGCCTATAATGACTTTTTCTTGTAGAGTAATATTCAATCCATAACAACTACGAGAATTCGAACTGTCTTTCAATTTCAATCTAATTGTGTTCAACCTACCTCGCGATTGCGTGCACCATATAAGAACATTACCGATCTAGAACAACACGGCAATGATGAAAACGTGGGGATGTTAGCGCCAAAGGTATTCGGTATTTTATGGAACGAATTGAATTACAAGGCGACACCAAAAAAATTATCATTCTCGCCTAATAAGACGACCTCCCCAAAATCATGCCAAAAATTTGGGCCTAAAAAAGCGACTTAAGCCGGGAAATTTGGTAGATATATTACATGCAAAATAGTTTTTTTTTCAAATAATTGAAAAATCTGATCAGCACTGAAAACATTTTACAGAGATGTTCACTTCATGGAGGAAATAAATTTATTTTTTTCAATAAATCTAAAAATGTTAATATCAAATTCAGCATATTTTATTACCTTCATGGCTTGCTTTAGGGCTGTCCTGGGTTCTTTTGGAATATTTTTAAAATATTTCTTAACACCCGGTAACACGATAAAGATCAGTTTAATCCTTCCTTCAACCATATTGCGGAGTGCCTAAATCGAAAAAATATTTTGAAAATTAATAGGCAAAATCATATATTATAAGAAAGGATTGCGTAAAAATTTTAGAGATCCAAAATATACGTAATGCTATTGGAATTACTTAAAAAGTGATACTCACTGCTCATCTAATGGAATGGAATCAATTAATAAAATGATTTTAATATATGTCAGATATACTGAAATGAAGCAAAATTAGAAAAAAAGCAATTTTAATCGAATAAATATGACTTATGTGTGTTTTTTTTCACTAAAACTGCCTAAATATCAAATGCTCAAATGCACTCACCACATAGGCTTTGTGAATACTCAAATGATCGGTAACGTATTCCTGGTTAAGAATAATTATAACTCGGTGACATTCATTCTGTACTCTGGCGATATTTTCGATTTGCACTAAAACGTATAATAACAACATGGCGATATTGAAACCTGTTTTGTTGTTGCTGTTTATTTACAAATTTGATTATGTTTTATGTCGGGGATGTGCAACCTTTAATACAAGAGGGCCAGATAGATATAACTGAGTGAAATCGCGGGTCGCACTTTATTTAACATAGGCTTTCTACTAGTTGTAGGAACAGGAATGTTGGTAATTGATCTTATGATATGGGTTGTTTTCACAACCTAGCTGTTAAGGCATTGTAAAGTCATAGATATAGATAAATTAGACTCAGGTATAGGCTTCTCAGCACAAAAAGGTTTGGAACGTACTAAATTAAATTTAAATAAAATCTCGTTTCGCGGGTCGCACATCATTCAAAATTGGCTCTACTTTTCCTTGAGGGCCACATTAGGCCCGCGAACCGCAGGTTGCACATCCCTGTAATATCTTATTAAATTCATTTATATTAAAATGTTACTGATATTAATGATCATTACTCAAAAACAATAGTCAAATTCAAAAATCTGTTTATAATTTTATATCAATGGTTTTTAAAATTTGTCAGTATAGCTATTACTTGGAAAGTCGATAGCTGAAAATTCTCATAATTACTCGAACTTTATTTTATATATGATGACTCAGTGAGCTCCCTTGACTCTTACAACGACACTACAGGATGTGAAAACACCCCTTAAAACACCCCATAACGAAACGACCTCTAAACTATTTTGAGACATTAATGGAGTTACTTACTCGAAACTTGATTCTCGTCTCTGTGGTCTTCGTACACTGTTGCATTAAGTTGATGGAACACTTTATACAATGATTCAACTAACTTCTTGGTCATTTTTTGGGATTTTTCAGTCATGTTTTCTGTGCTATAATGATATACTAGATACGCGGTGTAGTTCTTCACGTCTGTTATAATAAATGAATGTAATATTATAAGTATTATATTAATATTTTGGCTTCAAGTAGTATATTCAGAATAAACGACAAACATCATCAAATTTTCGGGATATTTTGATGGTTAACTCAGATTAATCTTGGCAGTTAATTGCAAATAATAAATTTAAGGTTTGCTATAATATATACTGTCCTACAGTCTTTGAAAAATTTGATATCCAGGACCTGTAACTAGTTTCAAGACAAAACGTGATTTACTTATACTTATAATAATAGAGTGAGGTTGTTTTCAGTATTCACCACATCACACTAAAATATCATAAAACATATAAAATCATATATATACTTCGAAATTATATATAGACATTTAGCAGTTACCGAAGACATGATTAGGGACATTTTGACCATTTTAATGATAAAATAATTTTTTAATAATAACATTTTCACCTTTTTCGTAAGGACCAAAATATTTCTTTCCGAACCACAAAATGTCAATTTTTCTCCAGACGCATATTCCAGTCAATAAAAGTAGTAGAACTAGACTCAAGATTCCCAAACTAATCTTATAGGCATAAATTTGGAGCGTCTCTTCTTGGTCTATCACAAGTTCGATTGTACGGTCGGTAGATTTCTTATTACCAACAGTGAATATCAAGCCGTAAAATCCTGCATCGGAAGCCTTCATTTCTCTTAGAAAAAAAATTAATAAATTTTTTGTCGGATATGTGTGTATTGAATGTAAAATAAATCATTGAAATATAATATTTCAAAGTAGTAGTTTATATTTCAAATTTCAGACCATTCAGTTCTTATTCAAAAAAATAAATAAATATCTTTTCGACTATTTGTATATAGAATGAAAATTATAATGTAATATTTTATTGCAGTAGTACAGGGGTGGCCAACCAGTTCGAGGCCAAGAGCCGCATTTCGTATTTTAATACCGCGAAAAGCCACATTATAAAAAAGAACACACATGAACATCAGATATACCTTCATTCAGCTCTGCTAGAATGCTACTATGCTATATTATTGTAAACGTCACTCACTAACAGGAATATGACAGGAATTTACAAGCCATTGATTGTTAAGCATGCTACTCAGTGGGACCTCTGACATTTCTTGAATTGAACAATCCTCTTTAAATTTGGCATGTGTTTCAGTCAGAACAGATCTGTGCTTTGATTCCACGTGTTTTAGAGTAAAAAACACAGATTCGCTGACGTATGTTGACAAACATTGACATTGAGGTACTTTTCCATTGGCATGTTTCTCTATAACTTAATTATCCCTTCCTTTAAAGCGCATTTCAGCTGGTTTTCTTCAACTCAGTTGCAGCCTTGTCTGAGACTAGAGGGAATTTTCGGAGCATGTTCACTGAACGCTGTAAGTTCTTCTATTTGGAGTGTCACAACAATTTTTGCATAAGTTATTCCTAACCACCACCTGGCTTTGGCATCCAAGGATTACGTCACTACGACCTCACAATCACGCGAAAAAGCTTGCCAGAGTATAGTTACGATTGCCCGAAATGGCATCTTTGCCAAAAATAACAAACTCATTACCGCCAACGATCTCTCTCATATCGGGATCGTTAGGACGTGAAAACAAGAGAATTAGATCAGGGGTCACCAACCTTTTCGAGGCCGAGGGCTACTTTCTGGGTACAGATTGAGCCGCGGGCTACCAATTCAATGTACACTTCTAAAAAGTCGCGGCTGTGTGGCCATCGTTAGTGTGCTAAGCGTTAGGTTCGCAGGTTAGAATCCCATGCGAGGATAGTTATGTGCAAGAGGATTGCTGGACCCCTTGTTGCCGTTGGGATGGCTTCCTTTTCCATCAAGTCCATGCTTACGAAAACAAATAACTTACTTATTCCAATACCCGACATGAAATGGTAACCGGACGAGAGGCCTTGGTTCGCCATATGGTTAAGCCGTCTTATCGGCCATCTTCTTCCCCGGGAAAAATAGGTAAATCCCATCCTATCCTGAGTTTATGTCAAAAATGTTGATTCACAAAGATAGATTGAACGAAACAATGGTCTCGTAAAATAGAATTGCTGTATGATTTGAATCGCGAGCTTTCTCTGCCCGTACTGCGCTGGATAGTTAGCGCGGTAGATTCCGTGACAAGCCTTGAAATATCTTTTCGCTTTGCCGTCGCTACAATCGCCCCACAAATGAGACACGCGCAGACAGTTTTCATGTTGGTAAAAATATATCCACCCCCAGTCATCGTGAAAATGATGGGTTTTTCATCGTTTTCTGCCATTTTTCTTTGGAATCAATAATTATATTATTGCTGCTCCACAAACCAACGGACAAGAAAAAGCGCGGGTTCGTAGTAAGTGATATCAGTGTGATGTCATAATTGGAAGAGTGTTAATTGATCCGTCACATTACTGAGGGTGTGATTTATACGAGAATAGCAGGACAAAATTTAATCGATGCATCTTACTCATAAGCGCCGTTATTAAGCTCAGTTTGGAACAGACCTGCGGGCGACTCATATGGTCTTCACGGGCGACTTGGTGCCCGCGGTCAACGCGTTGGTGACCCCTGAACTAGATTGATCGATTTCGGGTGACCGTCTGCGCGTCTTGGATGGCAATTAGTATAGATTGGGGGAATTATTACGTTACTATGGTGTCGTAGTGATGTAAGTTTCTAATGACGTAGTCAGGTGGGGGTTAGGAATAACAGATGCAAAAATGGTTGTGCCACGCCAACTAGAAGTACCTAAGGCGTGTTGTGAACATGGCCGGAATTTTAAACAATCCGTCTCATAATTAAATGGGTCGTCGAGAATGTATTCTGTGACGTTTTATCACATTTCAATTACTCAAATAGTAAACTGCGCGTTTGCCGCCGATCTTCATTTTCGATTCGATTACGACAGTCGCCGTAGCGCGATAAACGTTTCTCACAACAAAGATTTGATTGTGACGTAATAATGGACGATTGATTGCACGGAAAAGTGAATGAGGGCGTTCATGTATCTTCGACGTGAAAAAAATATTGCACGATGAATCATAATATGTTTAATCGAATCCAGATGAATCGTAGTTTGCAAGTTATTTTTTTCTTAAAATAACCAAGGCGAAAAAAGCCGAATGCGACTCGCGAGCCGCGGGTTGGCCACCCATTTAGTAATAGCTTATATTTCAAACTAAAAACCAAACTTACTTTATAATCAGAGTCAGTCTTACGAGATGCTTGAGTGCTTCTTGAATGACTGGTGGTGGTTCGTACATGAAACATCGATGATGTAAGTTAGATATTTGAACACTGCAACACAATATATTTAATACCTAAGTCAAGCTATGCATCCCAATTTTGAGACATATTGTTTTAGTGCTTATAAATATTCACTTTTTATTACATTAGCTTAATGTTTAAAACTAAAAGTTGATAGTTGATATTTTCATGTTGTCTAATAAATTCAATATTGAAGTAATGTTAGGTAATTTTATTAAGACATAATAAAAATAGCTAATTCTGGAACCGTCCATTAAAATATTGATAGAAAATTGTCAAGAAGTTCAATCCAAATTAGTCAATTTGTTACCGAAATATTAACGGTAAAGTGACATTTTTCGAGCACAACCTTCTTAAAAGTGTTTGGAATTGTTTTATACGTTATATTTTTATTGTTAGCCGTTTGAAATATCTGTCGGAATTGCATAAAATTGAAATCTATGAAAATAAAAATTTAAGATTAAAAATTTCGTTTGTAATGGATGAGATTAGTATGATATCAATGTGATTTTAGCACATCTTTCTATATATTATATGTCTGGTATTGGGAAATGTAAATTCAATTAAACTTTTCTCCGAATTTATAAGCAAGTAATTTTTCAATTTTGTAAAATTCTCTAATTTTTTCAATAATATGTCTGGTAGAGATTTGTAGTCATTGCTAAATTGATTGCTTTGAACAAGATCTTAGTCTACTGTCAACTTAGATATATGAATGACCGTTGGTTATTATTGAACTATTTTGATTTTTTTGTCAATTTAGGTAATGTATTTTTTCCACTTTTAACTCACTTGTCACAATCAGCCCTTTCACTTAAGCTTGAATTTTGCGGCCCATCATTCAAAGTAAATTTTGTGCAGAAGTCTCCTTCAGTACCATTCTTCAGTGTCTAATTGATATAAAACAGTTGTTAATTATGGTCAATTGAATAAAACGGCAGAGAGAGAGAGAGCGTATTAATAAATTTTTCATGGTATTTAAAATTAAAATCAATCTATAAAATTCTATTCAGCGTCTATCTGTCTCTGTGCCATAAACTCAGTGGATCAGTATTTTCAACCGCAAATGTAATGACTATGCTATTATAGCCAGTGTTTTGAGGTAATCTTATAATAGACACTAGTTATGCTATTCGAATGTCCTTACTTTGCTCCATATAGCAGTTGGTGACAACGAAAAATGTTCTCCTGGTCCGAAGTTGACACTGCATGTAATATTCACATCATCTCCGAGTTTTACCTTCTTTTTCTCAGGACATTTCATTGCATATTTACCCGTATTACCATCTTTAAATAAAAGTATAACAGTGTAAATGTTCCGTGTTAAATAGGATGTTCATGCATTTTGTGTAGTTAGAATTCATTCACTTTACTTTAGTTTGTTTTACGGCTCATGTTACCTCGGTTCGATCAATACATTCGTATCAACTATTTATTACATTCGTAAGGATGCCAGTAAAGGGCAAAATTAAATAGGAGAAAAAATCAATTTGTTGAAATAATTTTTTTTCCGAAAAATACGCCAAACTGTATGATATTTTCTTTATATTATTTAGGTTAATAATATAGATATATATCATGACACGCAATAAATACATCGATGACATACGGTTAATCACTGAAAAGTATATACGACTACTGTATATTGCGTGAAATTTTTTTTTTAATTTTGATAAAACAATTCGTAAATAACGTGACTGATATTTTTCTCTTTTTGGTAGCAGAAAATAAAAAATATACGTGAATGCCTAAATATAGAACAATTTGTTCAATTATAAAAACAAATGCATTTTACGTTGGATGCACACTTGGTGTCTTGTTACATATCTCTCATTTCCCTTGTATTTGACTTTACATGAATAAATTCCACCAGTTGAAAAATCTACTTGAGTCAATATAAGCTAAAAAATATAGTACTGTTAAACTGTTACTGTTTACTGTTAAATCGTATTATATTTTCCTCATTAGGTTTACTTTTTTCCTTTTTGAAATGCAAATATTTAAACACTTTCAGCCTATATTACTCCAAATTAAGATGGAATGAGTTATATTCAAATACTAATACGATTATCATCATCATTCAAAAAGGAATCGCTACCCGATGAAGCGAGAACTCATATAATATACATTGTAATATTATTCCTTTATAAATATGGTATATGTATGTATGTATATACGTTAAAAAGTTTAAAAATTTAAAATGTGAACGAAATTAGCCAAATTTTGAAATTTGAGTCGAAAGAAAGTAGCGAGTTATCTCTGTATGGCCAAAATATTAATATTCTGTTATTACAATATTTACATACAGTATTGCCTGCTATTCTTGCGTTTTGTGGTAATTTCTCGCTGCAATTGCGCATCCATATATATTCCGCTTCGGAAATATTTTGAATATATAAAGCAGGTCTTGCTTCGTAGTCCACTGAAACAAATGAAAATTATAAATGAAAAATATCCTACAATATTTATTGATCTTTCTAATAATATAGCAAACAAACCTTTTGAAATTTACAACAAAAAATGTACATGTGCGAAGTTTTGGACATTATCGTCTGGTGTGTACTAATTATAATTTCCCCTTCCGCGTTGCATACTAAATTAGTTTAGCAAGTATACAAATTTTGCAAAGCAAAATGTTGAGCTTTATTTTAAACTTACACTGACAAGACATTCTGTATACTTGTCCTACTCTAAGTCTTCTCTTAATTGTTCCGATAGCTTGACTCATATTACGACAATTATGGTTCTCGGTGAATTTTTCACGATGAAGCCAAATGTCTTGAAAGGAGCAATAGTTTGCCGGCGATGCCTGATATAGGAATTGGTTGATGTTTTGTTATCAATAGAACAATGAGAAAGTTCTCCTTCGCAAAACTCATACGTACAATGATTTTGTTTAGAAATGGTGTTAAGTTCAATGAAAGTGGTATAAAAAGACTTGCATATTGTATATTACCCTTTTATTTACAAAATACTAAGCATGTGCTTCCGACTGTATATGCGAAAAAATTGTTTATCATTTTTAAGTAATCTATTGAACTTGAAAATTGAGGGATTCTGGTCGAAGACAATGCAATAACGCCAAAGCATATACGGAATAAAAAACTAAGCTGAAATGCAAAACATTTCTTACCGAAAATTGTATTCGATACATTGATGTTGGACCCTCTGTGACATCAAAGCTGTTGTAAATACCACTATTAGGCCGTTTCATTTTGTTCACAGCCACAGTTGTGTTCCACAATATATTTTCCTTGTCGTAAACGATGCACTAGTAGGGGTACATGAATTAAATATGCTTAAGACCATGTAATCGCAAAATCATAAAAATATAAACAGTAAATCTCGTTAGTGAGAAAGTTAGAAAACAAGACCGAGATTGTTCCTTTTAAGTTAATTTGTCATATCATCTTACCCAATCCTTATCCCACAGTTGAGTTTTAGGGCGTTATGACGCAGTGGTTGGAGAGTGTGGCCAAATTATATAAATACAACAGTTTAAACTTGGGTAGACAATTCCGTACCGGAAAGATTGAGTTTTTCAAAAATAATATCTCCTACCATATAGGCAGTTATTTCAAAGTTAAGGTGTGAAAACGCTTTATAAAAGAATGCTGATTTTATGACAGATGTACACAGCTCTTTAGCGAATTTTGGTTTGAAGCAACAACAACTGCTGGTGTCCAAAACTTGTTCTCGATACGACTTTTGCTAACAGTCGGTAGTACAATATTTAGAAAAAATAACCAAACAAAAGTTGCGTATGGACTTACCGTAACATTTTCGGATGGAGGTCTTTCATAATACTTGCTAGTAATATTACTTAAGTAAAATTCTGCATGGTTTTTGCAAGAGAAATAAAACGGCCATCCTATATGTGCGGTTACATTCCTTATTCCAAGATTAGTACAATTGACTACTCGATTTTCTAAACATAAATATTTTTTATTTTGCAAATCTATTCATTATGCGGGAATTCAAACTAATATTGTAAATGACCATGCACTATACTTAGAAGAAGCAAATACCAGAGTAAATATCGATAAATTATAACACAAGTAAAAAAACTCACCTGTAGTTATCTGTTTACCAAGCTGTGTGCCAACCGTCACGTGAAATACAACTATAATAAATATAGCTAAGAATTCCTTAATAAGCATAATATTGTAGTGGAGTGTTCGATTAAAAACTCCAACGTACTCCCAACGTTGAATTAGACTTACTATCAAGATATAACGTTCGAAATTAATACAAATTTTCAAAAGCGAAAACTTAACATTCTATAATTGAGAATTCATAATAATAAGTATTGCTTAATCATTCACTTACATTAAATGTTCTTAAATCGGCAGTATACATAAACTTTTACCATACCAAGTGTGTTGACAACAAGCAATATAATTTACTTTTAGAGTACTGTAATTCTATCTGATATAAATGTAAGTCAGGAAGCAATATTCAACATAGCATGTTAAGTATCAAATTACCATAACGAAGAATAAATATTACAATCAGAGTCAAAAGTCAAAAAATTTGAGTTTGCGCAAATTACCTCTGATCATACAAACCTCGAAATGCAACACATTGGCAAAACCCAACGACCGAATGCAATAACAACAAAAAAATTGAGTATTATTTATCAAATACTCGCAACGTAATGTAAACAGGAAAAGAATTTGAAATTCAGAAAATTTGTCAATGATGTATGTGAACATGAAATTGTCACCCATTCAAAAATTTTAGAAAGAAAAAAACAACGATTCTTCGATGATGACCAAACGATTTTTATTGCTAATTTGTAATGCTAGTATATTTTGGAATACTCTACTGAAGTGAACTTTGCATTTCCCTTGAACTTCATTTTGAAATATCTCAGATATATCTAATTGATATTTTCTTACCTTTTCAACACACTTGTCACACATTATGAAATAAAACAAAGCGTAAGAGAAAATATTATTTCACTAGAAACTATACACTAGATCAAGTTGGTCCAAACCATGGTCCGTGGGTTGCATGTGGCAATTTTCATGTTTTAGCTTGATATATGACAAATATTGATCAATGTGTTTGCAAAATAAAAGAGTTCGTTTTGTATTGTACTGTTTACCTATTCTTGGCACTATTGTGGCCCGCGAATAATGCAAAGAATAATGCCCGCGAAGTCGACAATCTTGGACAGCCGATCACTAAACACTCACACTAGATTAATGTCATGAGATTCCAAGCACCCTTTCTGCGCTTATGAACGGCAACTCTCCGGGAGTCAATATATATATTTTCTTCTATCGATTAGCGAGACCACAAGTTCTACCATACGGCGTATATATGAATAATATTGTTTCTTGACGTCTTATTGCGGGATGACACGCGTAATAGAAAAATTTGACATTGTTCACATGAATAAAAGCCCAATCCACCAATAAATATAGAAATGAATGTTGCAAATGTAGACAGAAATCCCCCTGTATTGTGAAGAAGCTTCACTTTAGAACATCATATTCCATGGGAAATTTTACAAGGTTTTCCTTATTTTGGCATCACACGTTGTTTCAATTCATTTGAGAATTTTCCATACTGCACGTTGACTTTGGCACATCCGCTAATTTAATGAAGGCATTTCAGGAAGGCAGATCAACCACATCATTTTGTTTTGATTGCCTGCTTACTTGGAATTGGGTTATTGCCGATTTATTTTCCCACGGAAAATTCCTTTACTGATTTTGTACTTTTTTCATGTATTGCTTGTCATTGCTGATTCAAAGCGGTTTCCGCGGTTGCATTACGCAAGCATTCAAGAATACAGATGGTATTTTGCATGTTGATATGCCTGTAATTATTTAAATATATCAGTCGACATCGTTAACCCTAAATAGTGTATTATAAATGCTAATGGAAATGTACCCCGTAACTCAAGCAATCGAGAATTTGGTTATTTGTAAAAATATTCGAAATACAAAATCGGTCCTTGTGTAAAAACTCATTTTGCATAACTAGCAACCGATTTTTGTCTCCTAGTTTATTTTTAATATATTCCATTCATGAGACAGATCAATTAAAGGTTTGAAGCAATAACAATAAAGTTCAAACTTGTTATATAAATGTTCTAGAGCGGTGTTACCCGACCCGAGTCCGCGGTCTCAAATGAGTCCGCGGAGCGTTTGAATTAGTTCTCAACGAGCAAAATAAAATTGAATTGAATACCGTTTTAGAAATTCATGTAGGTCACTAACCTTTTTAGTGTCGCAAAAAATTCATTTCTGGGCGAAAACGTTTTTACCTGAATTAAGTACCGGCAAAGTTACGATTTACGTAAGTAATTACATAAAACATAAAAGACAAGTTCATTCACGCAAAATTAATCTGGTCAATAATTTCCGAGTAGAGATGGTTAAAATGTTCGAACTTCAAACTATTAGAATACCTGGTAACATGAGACTTGGACAGGGCACGTCAGTAGCGCTGAATCAAATGATTGGATTGCACAACGCACTTGCAAATTTCTGACAAAATCACAAGTTTATACGTACCTTTCGTTCACGGTAAAATTGATCGTTACATTTGTCTTTTTTTATCTATTTGTTTTCTGTAATTCATTGCACAAACTTTGAATGATCTTATTGTTGCCCCAACGTCGCATGATGATTATTATCAAATTTTAACTTATAGGCAGTAACAACATTTCAAAGGTTTTGGTTTGAGGCAAAAATAACATAGACTGAATAGAAAAATACGATCAGAAAAAAGACATCCAATCTAGGAGCCAGCTATAAAGATATTGTTAATTGTTTAATTTTACGAAAGCGATAAGGACAATCAAAATCGAGACGAAAAAATAATAATCAGAATGAATTTATTTGGAAATTTTGGCTGCAAATTCCTTCCTATAATTTTCCTCGGCTAATCGTCGCCAGTGATAGCATAATATCTTTTGAGTTTGTCAGAGCAGCAGTTCTCAATGATCACCCTCGCTATGGTTCCCTTTAAAAATTGTAAATGTGGATAACAGACTCACTTCGTTAAAATTCTGTTGTTTGATTTTATTACTTCTTCACACAGAGTTCATTTACAAAATTAACGCTCGGTAATAATAATAATAACAAATTATGGATGTTTCTCCGACTCCAGAAAAATTCTCCACATACTTTACTATTGCACATTTTTTTATGCCCATTTTGTTTGAAGAGTTTATTATGTTCCAAACCATCATTTTTATTTAAATTAGTCAACTACGTGCGGCTCACGCGTGCGTGGTAATAGCTGATTTTAGCGTGGTCTATCGCTGCGTTTGCGAGATTAATTTCTGATTACTGTTACTATAGTAAAGATCCTCGGAATACATATTGACAATTAGAGTATTTAATTTACAAGTATTATTTGAAACCACAACTGAAAACTGAAACTAACACGCAAAACTACGAAAACCAAGCAATGTTACAATCATGGTTACGGAGCAGCTGCAGAAATTGCACTTGTTACGTCATTGTTGAATTTACATTTCTAATATTAGAGCAATACTATGGTTACGGACTTATCAATGATTTTCACAAGGGAAGTATGAAGACACGGGATCAATATTGACGAAAAAGATAACAAAAACAACTTCCATTGATTGATTTTGAGCCCTAAATGCCAGAGAGTATTTAGATGATTTTTCCAGGATTTATTCCAACGTTAAAAATTGGAGCTGTTTCGGGATTAATAAAACGCTTGGATTGGCAATACCTCATTTTGAGTTCAGAGACCTCGAACGAAATACCCAAAGCAACAAACATGAACATGAAACAATAACATTGCAACATACAACATATTTTGGCATCAAATTTTCAGTCATAATTGCAAAAATGTAATGACTGGTTGAATATTAACAAAACATATTCCCAATATGCCGCAACTGTGAAATCTAAAGTCTTGCACGGCAAACACCAAATCTATTCAATTTCAGATAAATAAATATTACAGTGTTATTGACGACGTGATTGCAACGGAGATAATTTGAGCGTACAAAACTCGTTTCAGCTCTTGTACGTTTATTTTATAAATCAAACATTTCTTAGAAAGAACACCAAGACGAAATTCACTGATTTTAAGATAAGTAGCAGAGTATGAGAAATTTTAATTTTGACGTCTTCTGCCTAACAAAATAGTTATTTTGTTTTATACGCCTATTATGTAGAGCCAACCAAGCTGAGTTTAACAGCCGATGAGGTTCTCTTAGCACTTGCCAAATCTATGCACACTTCTCCGAAAATGCCTTTTATGTCTCGGTGAATTCTGACACAGCCTCTTCTGATGGAGCACAATATTCACCAGTAAAACCATCGGGACATTTACAAAAAACTAAGTTGTACAATTCATTTATAAAAGTAGATTCATTTTCTTTAATTATTTGTGATATTTTCTTCATGAATAACAGCTGTAGTGGACCTGGGGATACAATACCAGTATTGCCATCAGTCATTATAATCCAAGTTTTTTCATCATATGAATTTGTTGGATGATTAAAAGTAGGCAAAATGAATGAACTTTCTTTGATAATAGTGAAACCAATTTTATTCTCTATTTCTTGAACCTCGTTTTGAATTTGATCGCTTTTGAACATTGTTACAAAAGGAACCAGATCGCAATATTTTCCATATTTGCAAGTGTTATTGAAGTAGTTGCACAAAAACGTTGAAACTTGAATGTTGAACTCCTCAAAACTAATGGATCGAAGTTGCAAAGTGTAGCCTGAACATAATAAAATTGAAATTTACCAAATATAGCTACTACATAGAATGAAATAGTAACGCAGAAGTACCTAAATATTTTTTGATCTACTGAATTGTATCAATTGAACATTAGGATATTTCATTATTCCTAAATTTCTGATTGAAATTCAAACTTTTGCCTTGCATTTTATATTAATATTGTAATATAAATTATACGGTCGGCAATTTCGAAGAACATTTTGTTCTGAACCAATTAGCACATAAATATGAGAGACAATTTTGTTGCATGGACACGAAAGAAGTTAAAGAAGGTTCATGTAAGAAGCAAGAGCAACTAAAATGACAACATATATGTAAGATACTCACTTGGTTCAAATGAATAAATTACCGTCACATTCACTTCTGCCATGATATTCACCAGTTCTTTAACTCGTTCTAGTAAGTTTTCTTTATTTTTAGTGGCTGCCATCATTTGATAGAGTTGAATGGCATTTTGCACATTATCTGATACTTCATCTTTCCTTCCAATGGAAGTTTCATAGTTTTCGTTTAGTAACATTTTACAATTTTCAACTTCCTTTCGACATGTTATATATCTCACTTCAGTTTTGCGCAATTCGCATTCTATAGTTTCGTAAAGTTTGGTAAGATTATTTAATTGATCGGTATCATCTTGTGTAGTCTGCCTGATAGCTGCCAATTCATCCTCCAAGGCATTTATATTGTTTTGTGCCTCCAACAGTTTTGTTTCATAATCGTCTTTAGCTAACATCAATTGAAATTTCTCTCCGTCAATTCTTTCCACAAATTGAATAAATTTCTCTTTGTATTCTATGTTGTCCGAATCTGATTGAATTTGAAGTAATTGATTTGCTGCATCCAATTTCCCGGACAATATTGCGTTTTCATTTATAACTTTATTTAATTCGGAAGTTATTTTTCCGTTAATGGCTTCTTTTTCTTTGTTCTTAAAATAAATAGAATACAAACTTTTATAAATTTGGGTAATTTGCTGGGATATCAAAACAAACTAGAACAAACGTTTATGATAGGATAGGATTCGTTTATGGTAGTTACCAGACATTTGTTGTCGTTATTCATAAGCGTGTTTACGCACATGGATTTCGTATAATATAAAATTTCAGAAATCGTATCCGCTTTGATATAAGGTGATGCGTATGCAAAGCGTATGAAACTATGCAGTACCGATCAATAATTGTAAGACTTACGGAAAAGATACAACAGCAAGTGTCTCAATGATGTAAATTTTGAATTAATTAAATGTCAATGCACTACCGTCGTCTTTTTCATAATAAAAATTTAATTTTCTATCCATTCCTTAAAAAAGGTTCAATGACCTAGAGATAGTTTGAGGTCTGATTATATAACTTCCTTCCATCGAATTATTTATTTTATTCGGACACACCTGTTTACATTGGGAGTAATATGCCATCAAATAAAAGCATTCATATAACCAATTTATTTAATTTTGGTTTAATTATTATTATTATTACTAGTTTAATTAGTTTGGGCTTCGATAACAACCTAAGACAAATTGAATACCATTAATGTTGCGTGATAGATAATTTAAACATTGTGAATTGTATTTCTACACTGTTTTAAAATTTAAAAGATGATCAGTGGTATTGGAATACTGCAGAATCTTATCTTTTTATACAGACAACGTTTCTCAAATTGTGTGATATTAACTATGAATATAACTTAATATGCAGATACTTACATAACTTGTGAGTCGTTGGATTTCTGCATTCTTCTCTTCAATACCGTTCTCGTTTTGATCTTGCACTTCGTCAATTTTTCCTTTCTAATCAAATTACCAACATTGGAAAAGAAATGGAAAAATTAATTACTGTAACAATATACCAACAGGAAAAAGTGAAACAAATATAGCTGACAAAGTATTATTAGAAGTATATATATATTTTTTAACTTTAAACCAAAAAATTGAGGAATAACATTAATTAGTTAAATTGGTTGGTGGTAATCTACAATGATGTATTTTATATCCAACAAAGTTTTAAGCGGCCGTATTTTTCACGCAATGAGTCTATAAACCAATTCTATCATAGAATATTTGAAAACTTCTCAATAAACTTCTACAAAATTTAGTGTTACTCAAATAACCTACAAGATGTTGTATCTGGATTACATTTTCGTCGATTTCCTTTGTTAAATCCGCCGCTAGCTTTTGCAAAGCTCTCTTGACGTTTTCAGATTCTGTTATTTGAGTTTTCAAATCACCATTCTGTTACAGAAAACATAACGCTGCTTCTTTATAACTTAAAGTGAACACCGTGGATATTTTTAATATTACAGTTTTATAACTGGGCATTAGTATCAGTTAATTATCACTAAAGTGATTGAAGGCCTTTTTCATTTTTTTTATAAAACCAATTAATTCCACTGTTAGGTTGTAAGTCTTTCTTATTATACTTACAGCTAATTGCAAGTTTACTATTTCAACATCTCGAATAGTAATCGCACCTTCATGCTCTGCAGTCGTCTTTGCAAGTTCGTTTCTGTGGTCAGCATTCTAAATAAAATCTTATTTATTATTTAACAATATTAACAAATTTATGAATAAACCAAATGCCAAAAATCAAAATGAAATGTTATATTTATAATAATGATCGATTGCAAAATAATCAGTGCTGTGGTAATTTTACTGAGTTTTTTTAATTACAATTTTAAATCCATTGTTCAATCATTCAAAAATTCAATACGAACCCAGTGAATAAATATTTTTGTTAAACGGCTCACGGTTCCCAGCTGCTGTTAGTAAGACAATGAAAATAACTCGAAATATTCTTTACATTGAAATTCGTGAAATTTATAGCATCTATAGGCAGGGATATTTCAAAGAAAAGAGAGTAACTATTTAACCAGACATAATGCCATAAAAATACATACTAAACTATGACATGGAAATCTGAGATTATACAAGATCAACAAGAAACAACCTACATAATAAAACTGGTGAACAAGGGCGAATAGCGAAAGTAAGCGCCTGGTTAATGCCGCGAAGCAAACAACACGATAAAATATAAAACACTTTTGCTCAAGAAAGTTGATTGGCGAATGTATATTGCAACATTGTCATGATAATATTGTTAGAAGAGGTTCTATAAATATTTTGTCGATTGCGCACCAGGTAAGTTTTTAAGTATTCAATAGCTGAATCCACATTGTAATATTATAGTCATTTTGCTTTGCCACATTATTTTTAGATAAATATAAGATTTCATACAAAAATAAACATTACTGATAGTCTTTTTTAATAAGATAATGTTATTGTCTGATAACTTTTCTAATGCTATATATAACTTGTCAGTAAGTTACTTTTAGTTTTTGAAATATATAAACATAAATTCGACAACATCATACGTAAAGCCAAAAGCCCAGGTCTTGCCGTTCTTGGCCAATCTAAATACAAGCGATTTTAAATCATGCAAAAGAAATTTTACTGGTAAAAATATACATCGGACATCATTAGGAGTTGAAAAATATGCACATTAATTTGAAATTTACTTTAGAATAATCTTACGAGCTTGTCTATTTGTGTTGAGTAAACAGTTATTTCAGATAAGCACTGATCGTGTTGCTGCTGCGTGAAAGACACCGCCACACATTCTGCATCCATTTGGTCAATCTGCAATTGTTGTTGTTCAATCTATCGAAATATGAATATTTTGAAAATAAGAGTATTTTTGATAAAACTTATTCATTTATAGCAACTTGCATGCATGCATTTTATTGGAAACTTATCTAATTGGAAAATTACATGTATAGTATATTGAAACAATACATATGATAAACTGTGATTCAGGAATTTGTGATAGAAATATATTCCCAAATATTCAAAAATCATTTACTATTTGAATGTCTGTAAATAAACCAGAAGGAAAATCTTTTACATTTTTATTTGTTTTCTCGATTTCTAACATCACAAATTATCCAATTTGTTATATATTTTGTTACCTTTTTTTTGTTTGGTAAGGTAAGCGAACAAAAATAGATTACCTTCATAATGATACATATACTCCGGAGGGCCTATATTTTTAATATCATAATAAACATTGACTCAAGACAGAGCTCCACGGAAGCAGTCTAAAAGTACTGCTACTTTGAAACTTCGGTTCTGCATTAGCCGAAATGCCCAAAATCAGGATTACATCAAACTCCGCTATAACGTTCGCTTCAGGCCACAGGGGTATGGACAAATTGCCACTAAGAAAAGTATGTTTGAAAATGAATGGCAAAGAATGCCAAAAAATTCTGAAGTGTTTTACTTTAACAACTGCATCTTTATAATTTTTTTCTTTGTTAGCTAGTAACACTTTGATATTTTGCAGACTTTCATCCAAATTTGCATTATCAACAGCTTGCTTTGCGTATGCTTCGTCCCATTCAGCTTGGGCTCTGAGTTTCTAAAACCATGGTTGAAATGATTATTAACTTACGAAATTGTGAGCCACTCTATGTTAGAAATGAAACGAGATAAAAGAATGATACTGGGAATAAATGTACCATGCTTGAAACTTTAACCTATCTAGCATTTGGACTCGTTGGGAAGTCTGAATTATGGGAAAAATTGACAAATTCCCTTTATCAAATTAAATAATTTCACTACATAATAGTAATTCGAATATCTCTACTACTAATTTTTATCGGTCCTTCGTAACTCGATTTTGTCTCATTGTAAAACAAACTGCACTTTACATGTAATCATCGTTTCAGTATTAAAAATTATGACACGAAAATAATTTGGATCTATTTTAGACAGCTTCCTCTTCTTTCTTGTTATGGTTGTTGCTGGCATATGTTATGATGCTTATAACACCATTTGTCTTTTGCGCCATTTTAGACAAGGAAAAATAATAATATGTAATACCGCCCTATGAAATATTTCCAAATACATTTAAATACAAATGAAATAAATATAATAAGTAATAATTCTTGGAGAGTTTGTCTCAGAAACAAGAAGAATTCCATAGTAATGTATCACATTGTATATTGAATCCTGGTTGTATATTGAATAAATTGGGATTGGATTGGGAAATTATTCTTTAATAATGTACATCAAGGTAGTCTAATCTTTTTGGACGAAGGGCCACATTTAGTTTACGAATGATTGCGCGGACCACTTGACATGGTAGTCATGTTCTAGTTTTCACTACACCGACTACAGATCAATAAAAAAAAAAAAATCACCTAAATTATAAGAACAATGGAAATACCAAGTTACAGTAAAGTCAAAAGTTTTAACCACACATAGATATTTCAATGGGAAATATAGCACTACGATTATCTGAAAAAGTTTGTCAATAGTAAGTGCAATGGACGATGTAGCAATGTTGGGCGGATTTTTTACGTGGCTGTCAGAAATTAGTGTCTCACAAGGAATTTAAAAGGGTTCATCCGTGAAAAAACTTGCTCGTAGAAGTAAATTCTGTCAAATATTGAGGTCATAAAACTGCCTCTTCTAGCTTCAGAGGAAAAAGACAGGAAAACAGATCGAAATACATGGCAGACGATAAAAATGAATTCAAGCATGTCTCACTAGCAATAACGACCACAAATGGACATAAAAGAAGCTTTCGATAGCTAGGTGGTGCTTTTCGCTTGATTGAACGACAATTTTTGTTATTAGATGTTTCAATAATGGCTCAGATTTGTGGAAGACATTGGGATTCGAGCGCGGAGCACTCGGAAATCTTCGGAAATCTACAGAGTCAAAATAAAATTCACCTCCTTATTGAATTCGGACGTTCTATCTGCCAGCAATGCCTGCGCCGCTGTAATTTGAGAATCAGCGTTTTGTTTAGCAGTATGTAACTCAAAGTAGTGTTCTCTCAGTGCAACTAATTCTTCGTTCACTGATGTTTCCTGTGTATAAAGAAGTTTGCTAAATGAAGCTATATCCATTATTAATAATCTGAATGAGAAAATATTGCTACCTTTTTACATTCATATTATTCACAAAGATATCATGTTTGTTCATTCCCGATTTTTTGAATATTCTTTTACATTAGTTTGCTTTTCACAACTAATACTATTACTTTAATATCACTGTTTTAACTTTATACTGTTGACATAATTGTCAATTATTTAGTTACTTACAGCCGATTCAGCGTCCGAAACTTTTTTGTCTGCTTCTTCCTTAAATAGCTTGTATTTCGTGTCCAGAGCTTTTTTATCGTTTTCCTTAATGTATAGTTTTTTTGAGCATAATAAGACAATAGCTTTAAAATTGCTTCAAACGGTGTAGTATTTACCAAAACTATAACTTTATTCCAAATACGCCTTTATATAACGTTTAAGAAATACTACTCGATGCAAATAAATTTCCAGTCATGATTAATCCAACAACTTTTAGAAATTATCTTCTGCATATAATGGAGTTCTATACAATTATAAGTCCGTGAACTTTTAATCGATTGTCAATATTTATTTGCATTATTTGAAAACATTCATCATCATAAAAATCTTGCAATGCATAAGATATACCAGCAAATACAAAGTAAATAAAAATATCGCAAATGCTGTATAGTTTTCTGAAGAAAATATAGAATCTTCATGTTGTAATAAATTCTAATTACCAAACGCAACATAACAATTAACTAAACTAGAAACCGAAGACTTATCGATCGAAGGTTAGGGGATCCCCAAAACAGTGGTCTTACTCCATAGTGACACCGTGTGTCCCATCACTAATTAATTAATAACTCGCTAATTATAAGACATAATCCATCCAAAATCAATAGGCTTCTGATCCGAGCTATGATGAATGCACATGCAAAATTTGGAGCAGATTCAACCTCGCTTCCGTGAGATATCGCGTGTATCTAACACACAGACAAACAGACAGACAAATATCTATCAACATACTTACCGATCTTAAGATCGATAAGTAATAACTAACAAATAATTTCTTCTACGAACATGCAACCAAATCACCAACAACAATAACGAGTAAATTTAAATAATTTTTATGGTAATTTCTATGGTTGAAGCACATTGTTTTTATATGCATATACAATAGCGTTTTCTGACATAGTTGAATTATGTTCGTCTGAAAAAGTTTGACTTCGTTCCGGCAAAAAGTTGCGGGAAAATATATGAATTAGTTTAAACCATAATAATAGAACTGTTTCACAACACAGATAAACTGTAAATTTTTTGAAAATTTTTCAGATTTATTTATACTCACCAAATCTTGAATTTTGCTCGATTTTTCCGTTAATTCAGTTGAACATGAATCATATTTTTGTTGCACCAAAAGAGTGGTTGTTTCGCAATTACTCACACGCTCATTTATTTCAGCCAATGCCGTAACATGCTAATTTTGGATTGATAAAAAAATATTTTTGAAACCAATTCAGGAATAGAATTCTTTGATCTTGAAAACTCATTAAATCAGATATGTTATTTATAGTATGGTTAAAGTACATTATCAACGTCTTTCAATGTGTGTAGAGCACTGGGTCCCGTGGCACCCAAGTTACACCATTCATTCAGGGGTCCCCGTCAGTTTAAATTTGAACTCGATTTCCATAATAATATATTAGTATTATTCAACTTTATACATTTTAAAGATCTTTTCTTTTTGCCATTTTTATGTTTGCATTTATATATATTTATAGTTTAACAATTCGGACAATATTAGATAAGTAATATTTTGCACAGGTATTCCTCTTGGATACATCTATTCAGAAATGCAGTGACGGTGGATGAAGAAAACTCGAAACCGCGACAAAGCCGTTTGTAAGTTAAGCAATGCAAAACTCAAACTCGGCTCTAGCGGCCTCAGCTGTCAGAACCCTTTGATCTGCTGCTTGCCTAGCAGTTCGCATATCAACAAGGTCTGCTCTCAAATTCACAAGTTCTTTGTCGGTCAATGCTTTCTGTGCATAATATTCAATTATTTTAAATTACAACAATTTAGGAAACGAATTCTTTCATTTTTCCAATTTATAATTGTTAAGCTGAATTAAATTTTGGTATTCATTATTGTTAATAAAAACTTGAAGCCTCCCTAAACTTCTTTTTAAAGTATCATACCCATACCAATTAATAATAAACTAATACTATAAGTCAATTTTTTTATCATTTGAACAACGCAAATTTTTATTAGTGAAAAAACCATGAGCAAAGTTGCGACAGCAAGTCATTATATCAGCAGCAACTGCTTTTTCAAAGGTTTATTCCTATATTGATAGAAAATTGCTTTCAATTACGCCTTTATATTATCATTTTTATAAGTCTTCAAAATATTACAATCTTTTCTCCAATTATAATTACCTAATATTAAATACTTCTTTCTGGATATTAATAATATTTGAACAAACTTGACTTGTGCAATAAGATATAGAAGCTATACGACCCGTGGAGAACTTGAAAAAAAAAATTTCAATTCAAAAACACTGCGAGCTAGCCATTAGGCATATATTATCATATACTTATATACTTATTATATAGAATTATATATATATTACAGGGAAATAATAAATCCTATATTCATTTGGATTTTTTTCTAATGACTTATAAACAGCCCTCGACATTTCCAACTTCCTCCTATTCTCTACAGAATTCGCGTATAATAATAAAGTAACTCGTGCGAGATGATAGATATTCAATTTTGAAATAGGTTTAATTTTAGCTTTTCAAGTTTCATGCCAGTTTCTTGAATATATCTGGTTTAATGTAGCGAGATTGAGCGGACAGACTACAAATATTTTTACCTGGGCAACTATTGCATTGAATTCTTGTCTATTGGCTGATAGTGACGTTGTAGTCACAGCTATGGCTTCTTCCAAATCTGCATTGGTAGTTTTTAGTTCAGAATAATCTGATAAACATTTATCCAATGCACCTTTGAATTCTAATGCCTAAAATAAATGTGGAATTAAAAACTATTATAAGAAAGTAACAAAATAATAACAATTTAATGTAACTTTTTTCAACTTTTGCAGTTGTGCCGAAGATTACAATCGTAAGACTTATGTCGTTAACACTGAACATTTTGAATGAAAATCTCAAATCAATATTCTACAACTTGCGTTGTTATAGTCCAGATTTTCATCTAAAAGAAGCTAAGAAACAAATGAATATGATTTTCACTAATTTTGTTTGTTGCTTTTAAATTTTGTAAGTTTGAATCCACATAAGCCTTCTGTAATGTAAGAGAATAAATTTTGTCAAATAAAAGTATGTGTGAGATACTTACTTCCCTTTGTGATTCTGCTATCATTGCATTTGTGTCAGCTACCATCTCATCGTACTCTTTTTGTATTTTTTCAATTTGTTTCCCGTAATTGTCATTCTTTAGGACAATATCAAGTTAAATGAGTTAAAAATGAGTAGAAATCATTTTTGCATTTATTTGAACAGTAAAGTAGGACAAAATATTAGCCCGAGGTTGCAAGAATTGACTTGTATATGGATGAAGAAAAGAACGTTCTCTTCGAGATGTACATAATAGTAGTTGCCGCAATCAAAGTTAACACTATCACAAATTACAATAGTACGTTAATTCGAGTTTCATGGTGTTCCAAAATAGGAGTCGACAGGAGACAAATTTTAAGATTAGTCACCATTGGAAAGGTTCTTCTTTTGAAATCAGACACAGCCTAAATTTCACTAGTACTCTAAATAAACGATGAATGATAACAACATATAGCACTCTGACGGAGATTACAATCGTAAGATGCGGGTCGTTGGTTCTGAGTAAAAATCTAAAACGTTAATCTGATATTTGTGAAATTTGCCTATAGCGCCTATAGCAAATTTCTATATAGAATTGTTTCAATAGTATTAAAAACGCTTTACACAAAATTTTTGGTAATTGTATTTAAATTTACTTTTGCTAATAAAAGTATGATTGACTTAGATTAGATTACAAATTTTTGGAAACTTACCTCCTTTTTTAAGTCTTTAATACTTGTGCTTTTGTCCTCCACAGCTTTATCGCACTCGGCCTTCATTTCTGCAATTTGTTTCTCATAATCTCCATTCTTTGAAACAATTCCAAATCGAATGAATTAGGAGTGATTACAATGATCACAAAAATAACATTTTGAAAATATAAATGATTCAAATTTTATTAAAAGAAAAGCAATAAAAAATATTAGCAAGTTTGATTAACTTACATTTGAACAGAAGGGAAAGAATAAAAAACAATATCTTGCCCACAAGTGTACATAATGTAAGTTGCGTCAAAGTTTACTCCATGATGTTAAACGATAGTAGCTTTGCTGAAGTTTTATAGTTTTTATCGTTCTTTTTTTAAAAAAAACATAAATCACACTCATATTCTGAATTACGATGAATGATTCTAAGAACTTGGCACTATGACACTGAATACATTCGTGAAATGTTAGCCTTAAGTTTCTAGACATTTTAGATATAAATCAGTAATGGGATTTTAAAACTTTGGGGTGGCTATAGCGCGGAATTGCTATCTAAAATACCCATCTTTCACTGCGGGCTTTGCATTTTTTTTAAGTTGGTTCTGCATTTTCTAAACTCAAATTATCTTTCGCAAATAAGAGTCTTCGTGACGTGAATCAAAAATTATTCGAATACTTACTTTATTTTCTAAATCTGTAATGATTGCGTTTTTTTCATCTGTAGCCACATTGTACTCCGTCTTCATTTCTGCAATTATCTTTTTATATTCTTCCTTCTTTAACACAATTTAAATTCAAATGAATTATGACGTATGACAAATTTGACTTACATTTTTATAGTAAGAAAAGTATAATAAACAATATCTTGGGTACAAATGAATACTATTATAATCTCTCTTATTGAAGTTTAGTCTATGATTAAAATCTGTAGCATGTTCATTTAAACTTACGGTTTTCTAACCTGAGTGTTTTAGGTTATAGGGAAATGAATCAGAAACAAATCAAGAGAGAAAATTGAGAGATTTTTGAAAAACAATAGTCTAATTTACACTAGTAACCTGAATTACCGAATAATGACACTAGCAACATTTTTGCACATATTAACATTTATAGGTCAATCGGTAAGGATATACTAAAATTTGGGTCTGCCTTTGGCGCTGAGCACCTGTCTATAATTTATGGATATCTCTGTAAACTCTAATTAACTTTGACCAAGCAGAAGAATACTTGGGATAAAACAAGCATTTGTTTAATACTTACTTGCTTTACAAAGGATTGAATTTCCGTATTTTTGTCAGCTACAGCCTCTGCGCACTGCTTTTTAATTTTTGCATTCTCCTTCGCATTATCCTCATTCTTTTTAAACAAATAATTTGATAATTTATGAATTATTATAATAGATAAAACAGTGCCAAACGCAAATATTGAAAAATAAAGAAAAATGGCATTTCACATTTTATCAAAATTAAAGTACAAAATACGAGCATACTTATGTCAGTTTTCATTTTTCGTGGAGATAGATGAAAAACAATAAAAAAAAGTATTTTGTTTGCATAAGCTTCTTAGAATTAGGTTTTTATGTTCCTGGATAAGATTTCAGGAAAATGAAATGCAGGAAAATAAAAGTATTTTGACTTCGAATAATATGAGTAATTTTGCACATACAATTTTGTAGAAAATTAGACGTCATCAGTACATCATTAGGTCTAAAGACCTCTGATGTTAGAATTGGAGTCACGGTATTTTAAGTTCATACCGATCAAAATCTGTTGTCTGATTCAAACTTAAATATCATCAAATATTACTTTAATAGTTACTGCATCAAAATAGTTCTCAGTATAGATATTGTTCCTAACAAATTAATTTGAATTTTGATTATTTTCAAAAAAATATTTTCGAATGCAAACAATAATAGCACTACAAATAAATTACTATCAAGATTCAAGAGTAGTACCAAAGTAGATTTTGTAAGGTTTTAAAATTAGGCCCTATATGTGAAGAAATCCCCCGTGTCTTTGTCAGACTCACCTCAGTGCTCAAATCATTATATTTCTTCAATAATGCCAAATACATCTCCTTTAGATCATCGTAGTCGCCTAAAAGTTTCTCGTGGTTTAAATGTAACTGAGTTAGTTCTTCTTCTAGCTTTGCATTTTCTTCTACCAACTTATCAGCTTTCTGGTTTAGCTTTTCATGGTTAATTTGCAAGTCAGTCAAACTGTTAACTAAGTCCATTACACCCGACACAACATTCGATGCTCCTGAAACCTCCATGTTGGGAGTTATTAGTACAATTAACGACAGAGCAATTGTTGTGACCAACATTATTTATTGAACTCACATTTAAATTATATTTATTCCATAATATGCTAGTGAAATTGCAAATAATTTACATAAAAATAAGTATTATTCAAATCCATAATTTTCTCTAAAGATAAAACAATATTATTGTTCCTTTTGATATGACACGGCACCCAATCATGTGCATGGGTTCATTTTTTTATTCTTATCATCCAACATTTCCAAAATGTTTGGTATGATGTGAAATGTGTTCAATGTAAATTCAATACATTCACGAATTACAGAAAAGACTTTTGTCATTTCATCGCTTAATTCAAAAAATAATTTCATTTCATCTATTAATTTTCAAACAATTCACGTGTTAATCAGTATAAATTACAATCCCTTATTAAACTTCTGTATAAGCATTTATTTTTCTGCACAACACGTTAAAATCATAAAACTCTTATCATACATATAAATTTATTTTAACTGAATCTTCTTCGACTAAGGTTTGTAACAATTTAAATGTCTAAATTGTAATATATGAAATCACAACCAACTTGGCAAGAAGCATCAAATTCTGCATTCTATCGTTTTAAACACTGTTAGGGCGGCAGAAAACTATTAGGCAGATGTGTGTTTCATAACTTGCGGCACAAACGTTTCAAAGGGAAAATACGCAAAAGGAAAAACGTAAACGGATAGTGCGAATGGTATGTGTTAATGGTTACTTTCCTATTAACGACAGTTCAATTTTTCTCAAATAAGTGGCGAATAGATATCATAACAAATAGAAATTACCCACAATGTGGAGTTGTATAAAATTATTTCACGTATGTATTATAATTGGCGGGTCATTAGGTGTATGACCGGGTGTCCTGTTTTATTTCAATGTGCAAAGTTTCATGATATTAATATGGCCATTGCATGAGGGTATATGGTCATTTAAATAAAATTTAGCTTGGTGAGCAGATTGGCAATATGCATTCGCGTTAGCACAATTCTTCAATAATTTCAAGATGGTGGTGATATAATTGAATGAAATTGAAAAGATCATAAAACCCCGCAATGATTTAATATTGTTGCATAATCTTGTTGGTAACCCTAATGAACATGCATGATAAAAAATAAAAAATTTTCACTAATCAATACGATAAATTTTAATCAATTCTTCATTTGCTCTGTACATAATCTTCATTTTGTATGAATATTTTTTTCAAACTGTTTTAAAACTACCAAGATAATTTATGGTCATGGGTCAATGGCAAAGTTCTCATAATCATGCATCAATGGTGAAGTACTCGCAATCCTCGTCTTGATTAGATTCGTAAACAGTATCATAGCAATGTACAGTTAAGGGAAATCCCGAATTGTGTTCCAAGCGTTCTTGTGGAGATAGTGGTATTTCATAATGACTGGAACATGCTTTACCTAAATTTTCATACGAGTGAGATGGAACTGGTTTCATGCTTGCGTAAAGATGTTTTTCTGTGGGTCTGAATGATTTCATTTCCACCGTCATATTATCTTCAGTAGAACGTGATTGTTCCACAGCAACTGAAAAAAATTAAATGTTTCTTTAATTGGAAATAATTCATACAACCACCAAAATTGAACTTCACAAATCTAATTTCTGTCTTGAAATTCATAACATGGTAGATTATTTTGTCGTAAATCTGCATTACATAAATAATCTGCTTTCAGTTATCAAAATTGTGCAACAAATCAAAAAATTAAATATATTTAAGTTTTTCACAAACTTTCATTTTATAATAGAATCTGTTTTCCAAACCACCGGTCTGCATAGAACATGAGACAAACATATAAAGAATACCATTTTGTTATATTTTGTAATATATTCCTATTATAAATTCATAAATCTTGATGTTTAATTTTTTTACCTGGTAGATTTGGCAATTCGGGCCGGAAACGGTCGTCTGTTTTTCTTACTGTTGACGGTGCATTATATATCGTATTGGGTTTGCTTTTTTGCTGTCTTCCTCGTGCACGTTTTCTCTTTTTCGTAATTATGATACTTATTACGAACGCAGCGATAACAAACACTAAGATCCCCACAACTAATCCAGTAGTGACTGAAACATTTGAATAAGTTAAAAAAGGATTGAAATCGGCATTAAAATATTCATTATATTTTCATACAATTCATAAGTATACCAACAGCTAGCTATATGTAAATGCGGAAGACTTAGGTCCAAGGTTTTAATAGTGCAAAGATTTTGTAATTTGCTAATCAAACAATTCTGCTGATGATATTTTGCAAAAAAAAGTCAGTTTTTATTTAAATAAAACATATATTTTCGTCAAATGTTGGTGTCGATTTTTACAGGATAATGTCGGTTAAGGGGCAGTTCTACGGACATAGTCTGGAAGGGGCTACGGTGCCATACTTTTCTTTAATTTTGCACTAAAAATGACTGAGAACGTTTATAGCTGTATATCACGTAGAACCTGAGTGTAATAAATCCAATGAAAATAAGCTTACATGTAGATGGGGATGTAGTGATAACCACAGTCGTCGTATTCCTTTCGGAAAGTAGTGTATTTTTAACAATCATCGTGTGTTTGGTTGCAGCGGTCTGAAACAAGACAACAGGGCTTGCTTTGTACGCTACTCCATCTGGCAATGAAATCGGCGTCGATAAAACAACAGCAAACCTGTTAATTAATATGAGGGTTAGAATGCATTCCTTATTTCCTCTAAGTCACATTGCTTTCGCAATAAAATCTAGAATTTTTTTAAAATTTGATTCACCCTCAGTCATTAACAAAACTAGTTCTTGTATGATATCAATATAACAAGTCTGTTATACTATTTAGCTAGTGAAAAATTTTACTGGTGTGGACTTCACTTTAATATATCATTGTAATATGAATCAATATTTTTCAGAATACTTACCTAAAAGTCATATTTCTCGGTAACGCAAAATTCTGTCCTTCAAAGATATGTTGTTTTATATTTTCTGTGTCAGGTATTTTTAATGGATCTGGTCTGAGAACACTCATTGCGTCGCAAGCAGTGGTTGAATTATCTCCAAGATTAACTTCTATATAAGGTGTCTTCATTTTTTGGCTGAAATTAATTGATAAGTATCACTTTATGATTCCTTTTTGCTAAAGTTGGGACTTGGCTAATTTAAAAGGGATACTAAAATACAAACAACACCAATCGTCAATACCCATCTAATGAAGGTGGGCATAGTACATATAGTACAGTCGTATGGCCTGTGCAGTAACAGTTTTCAGAAAAACAAGTCTAACATGGACAAAATTTGGTCTCATTCATTTCATTTTCCTAAAAGTATTGCAATTTTCAATGCTTTGACATGCTTACCTCGGTATTGCAGCCGCAATGTACGTGACATCGTTAGGGAATTCCTTCCTTGATTTTGCAATATTGTGATTGCTAGAAAATGGGCTTTCAGTGTCAAAAACACTTGGCAAGCTGCTTGCCTCTGTCTCCGAATTATGATGACCGTGTACAAGAATGAAGTAACAGCTATATATAGAATGAATCTTGTTAGCCTCCGTAGTTTGTAATTAGGTTGTGTATTTAGGTTTATCTACGACCATCATAAGAAATGAATCTGCTGGGAATCTCACATAAAAATGAGTTTAGACGATTATGTGTTTATATCTGTGCCATATCTATAACAATACTTCTTTTATATTAATAATACCCTTACACTTATTACGAATAAAAATCAATGTTTAGGCAGTCAACTCGTGATGAATTATATATAAAACGTTATCAAACGTGTTTTGCATTTTCCGATGTGGGTTATAGATATAAACATTTACCAACTGGTGTAATATTTTTGCAAAATGATAGGAATTACCTTACTGGGCCGTTGGTTTCATTTGCCGGATACAATTTAATTTTATACAGTTCGTTTGCGCTGCTGCTGTATATCAGCACAGGAGTTGAAACAGCCTCTGGAACTAGACAACAAAAACAAATATAAGATTATAACCCATTGACATTGTACAACGAAATAATTTAGATAGTTTACTTTTGCTGGAATTGGTTTAATATTAAGACTTGCACATTTATAAAGATCTTTTTTGGAATGTAGAAATAGCATTAGTACCATTTTTTCTTATTGCCAACCTACCAGCGCTATCAGTTTTGCAAAATCCTTCCGCTCTGTAGGACAGACCCGGTCCTCCACAATTAATTGCTCGTACAAAAGATTTGTAAACTTTATTGGGCTCGGTTGTAAAAAGAAAACTTCTATCATCACGTGTAGCATTGAATACTCGTATCTGATCTTTAGGTGCTGGAGCATTTAGACGTAAAGACTTACGACGAGGACTGGATGTTACCGTAATCTGAAGACAAATTTAATAGAGTTATTTACAATTCGCATTTAAATTTAATATTTAATTAATATTTCTTGGAACGTTTCATCGTTGCATACGGATTTCGCTACATAAAAAGCAAACAAGCACATACTACATACAAGCAACCACTGCCTTATTTACTTGTTTAAATATTGAAGACGGATCCCGAAAAATAAACGTTGATTTCTATCGAAACAAACGTTAACATAAAATCTGATAACTAACCCATATTAGCCGAAGGTCAAATCGATGCAATATCAAACATTTTACAGTATCGGTTGTCCGATCATCGATCAGTTCGCTTAGATCAGTGGTTCTTAAACTTTTCGAGCCGCGCCCCCCTTTGAAAAATTTTACAAACCTCGCGCCCTCCCTCTTTTTACTTTGAAAAAATGCTTTTGTGGTGGGCAGGTCGCTATATATTAAGATGCTCAGATTGTTTAGACATAAAACGCTTCGAAGTAAAACTTCGCCCTTTACTGTCGTATGTATAAAACCAAATAATGGTTGGTCATCATACATTCTCGTTTTCCCCTCTCTTTGCAATACCTGGTAAAGTCAAACTAATTTTTAAGTAAAACTAAACACGCAATAAACCTATGCTTTAATGTATTTTCCGCTTAAACGTTTACATAAAACATGTAAAATTTCAATCAATTGTTTACTTCATCACTATTGAACGATGCCAAAATTATTTACTGTGTGTTGAAAATAAGCAACAATACAGACTTCTTGGCTTGCCTAACGTTTCAAACAAAATGGAGAAGTAGAAATGAATTTATGTAAATTTAAAAGCAGTTCATTTTTTAATAGTTATTATGCATGTGGACGTTTCCCCGGCCGTTGACCGCTGAAAAATAAGGTCGCTAAGGCGTTTGCGATTGCATTTTGTTTAAATCTCGACTGTTTTCGTAAGCGTGGCTTGCTATTTAAGCTGTAAAAATCTTGATTTCGCTGTTTATTCTCCCTAAATCAGAAATTTCCCTCGACATATTCTTGTGTCGCGAAGACGATTAAATAATTACTTTTTTTGTTCTCGAATGGAACCATGACACCTCTAAGAAAAACGAGTTAGTTTTTATTATATAAACATCAGCGACGAGATGCTAAAGATAGAATAAAGTAGTGAATCTGCAACCAAATATTTCTTTATTGTAAAAGCGAGATTATAAAATACGAGACAGAACATTTTTTTATACCACGAAAAAGCCGGTATTTTTAACGAACGCGGAGACCATTTCAGGAGCCGTTACATGCAAATTTCCGATTCCATCTTGTGACAATTTTCAATTTTGATGACGTCATCGGAAAACAAGTGAAAAATAAATCCCATGGAACCAACAGTAACTTTTTATTGTTTCGTAATATGTTTCTACTTTTTTTGACAGCATTAGATAAGTTGCAACGCGGAAGTAATATGTCAGCATATGGACGTTGTATACGATACGATTCTATTTATTCACGTGTCGGGGTATTAAACCGAATTGTTCAACGTGTGTTTAACTTTTTACTTAAAATTCCAAAATATAAATTACGAAATGAACCTCCAAAGAAGTTCAATTTGATATCTCTTTTATACACGATATCCAATTAATTTAGTGATTTTAGTGTGCAAAATACTTTGGTATCGGATTTGAACTACACAAGTTTCAGTATCTTTCGAGTAGATATGATAATATAGCACAGCATAATATTGAATTGTCTCCTAAATATAACAACATTTTACTTATTTTAAAATTTTGTATAAAACATGATTGAAAACTCTACAATGTAGTAAATTAGCACACTTACTCTTAGGCTGTCAAAGTCATTTGATAACGTAACAGTTTGAACGTTGCACAATTTCCCAAGTCCCATATTTTGGAACTGCGGATATAGAATTCCAGAGGGTGGATTTATATCTTTCCCTGTTACAAAAGTTCGTGTTGGGCAACCTGTAATCTAAATAACAAAAAAATACAGATTTCAAAATATTTATATTTTATTATTATATGGAATTTCAAGGAATAAAAGTCCACAGTTAAAAAATCTGTTCGATACCGACATCAAGTAACTGAGTTTCATTTGTGAAGGCATCTTTGGTTCTAGATAGGACCGCCATAGTTAGAATTCATGATCAAAAATGTTAATATGAGTCTCTTAAAACAAATAATAAACTACTCCTATATATCACATTGTTCCCACATTTACGAATTGCCATCAAGCCCGAATATTGATTGCTGAATTAAAAAATCTTCTAAGAATTACTGAAAGAGTTATCACATTATCCATATTTTTTTCATACTATCGAACTCACGTCCAATTCATATTCAGTATTTTCGCTTAACTGAACACGCAAAACTTGTAACGTTGTGCTTTTTGGAACAGTTGTATCTTCATATTTTAATGATAAACTGTTGTTGATTGGACGGATGGTGATTCTGCAAAAAAAAAAAATTCCTAATATTTTCAACAAAGTCGGGGCGTGGCAAGTGCGACTTTGAATTGAAAAATCGAATTCAATGCATAAATATTATTTTGCGACTAAATAAATGCCTGCATAAAAGAAATATCCATCATATTTACAAATTGTTGTTACTGCTCAACAACTTTCCACTAAGCTCTGATTGATCTAGAGCTGGGTGGTCCAAACCCAGGCCCCCGGGCCACATGTGGCCCGACGCTTCATTATCTGTGACCCGCGTCGCATTGGGAGAATAATCGAAAAATCGCATTTCGTGTTGTTTCGCCATAAAATTAATCAGAGAAATCGTTTGACATATTGTTACATCACCAATTTTTGCAACCAGCCTAAACAGTGTTACAAAAAATGCTGCCTGAATGTCAAAAAATTTAGTAATTACCCTTCTGTACCTCACATTTGGTAATCAATCAATCTGTTTTGTAAACATGAGTTTGAAAAAAAAGCTGACGAACTCAAACAGATTTTTAATTGGATGTGGGAGGGAAAATACCACAATGCTTGCTTGAGATGTCAGAAAGTTGTGTTGGTGACAAAAGAATTGAATTTTAAACGACATTTTAGTGACAATCGTGTGAGCAATGAGCATTTTCCAATTTTAGGATTTTGCTCTAAAAATCCAATCGATGTTCGAGAGCACTTACATTTGCGGAAGCACTTTTCCGTTATGAAGAGTTTGAAAACTTACACTAAATGTAGATATAGTAGGACTTTTGCAGGTTTTTGCATGGGTAAACCTGATAAATGACAGATACTGATCAATGTGTTTGCACTTTAAAAAGTGTTTGTTTTTTATTGCACTGTTTAACTATTCTCGGCACTATTGTGGCCCGCGAACAATGCAAAAATAATTTTGTGGCCCCCGGAGCCGACAACCTTGGACCACTCTGATCTAGAGTTTGCCAAAACCAAATTAACAAACGCACATGGTGAGAATTTTTTAAAAATTAAAAAGTATGTAGGTAAAGCAACGAGCACCAACAAGAACAACAGCATATCTCCATCAATAAAACGGTCATTGAAAATAACTCATCGCGCCAAAACACTTATTGTTCAAAAACTTTGAATGTATACGTGATAATTATTAATACTTACGTGTAGGGAATTCCAGCAGTATGAGGCTTCCATTTTATTGATATTTCAGAGGAACATATGTCTGTTGATATATTCTCAATCACGTGCGGAATACAACCTAAATATAAGTATTTAACACTAAAAAAGCTAAAAAGCCAGTTATTGTCTTTCAGTATATTAAATATCAGTTTAATAAAACTAAAAAAAGACACACTACATCAATAATATCGACAAAATAGATGATAAAACGTTGAAGTCCGGTTTCAAAATTGTCAATGATTTTGTACCATCAGACGGAAACAGCTTATTACCAAAATCAAATTGCATAATTATCCTGAAATTCAACAAGATTCTGAAACACACCTACAAGTTACAAATACGTGATAAACATGTTAAAAGTCATATTAATTATTTTTTACCTCTTGAATCTCCTCTTTTGATGAAAGTAGAAACAAAAAACAAAATTACGAGTTTGGCGATACCTTTCATTGCAAAAGGCCTAAACTCGTTCATCATTGAGATATAAATCCCTGAATGAATATTATGAAATATACATTTTAAGTAACTGTTGCTCACAACACATAACACATGCAAATACCATTACGTCGTATAATACCGAATCTAGTAAATTGTAACATCATATGGCAACTGATTGTATAAGAAATGTTATAAACAGAATGGAAAAACATTGAGTCACTAAACGAAAATCCTATTTAAGTTTGTGACGTCGCAGACTAATGTTTCAACTACTGTGTTACACCACACAAAACGTGGTTTAAACATAATATTATTGAATTGTACAATGTGTGTTTAGAACTCAAAGCAATGCAATTGTTTTACCTCCCGTTTAATTATCACGTCTTTTATTTCATATATGCCTCCACGGATTAGTTTAAAAGAAATACTAGTTCTTGTTAAAATAAGAATATATTTTACTATTTCCTGGTTAATTCGGCGATTTGACAACTCAAGTCCCTCACTTTAGCTAAATGAATATGGTTTTCTAAGCTATACGTTTTCAAATTCAGAATACGCTGTTCATTTATTGGCGATAATTCAGTTTGGAGGTAGGAAATGAAAAGCAGCGTGTGGCCCAACGGACGAATGCGCCCACAGGAAGTTTTTGAAATCCATAATTCATTCAAAATTTTAATGTGGTCATTTCACCATATAGAAACTGGACCGAATGACCTCCAGACAACTGCTAATTTTGGGTAATCGTAATTTCGACAAAAAGTACGTGTTTGGTTTTATTCTATAAGGCAAATAGCAATGCATGTTGCGATGGCAATAGGGAAAACCTTTTCGTGTAAGTCCTTTTTTTACAACGTGGAAATTGCCAAATAGAAGAAGGCTGAAGAACGAAAATATAAATATTTAATTACTCTGCGCTGTACCAAAGGTGCTCTGCACTAGCGGGAGAAATAAACTTGTATGCTGTCCACATCTTATTAATGCTTGAAACTATCATTCACTCACCACATCCGTCATATTTCACACAAAATTAAAACTGTTATTCATGGTGTATGACATGTTATTTAATAGGCGTACGTGGCAAAACTGGAATATAATTTTCCGCCACAGAAGGGAAATGACTGGTATAAAGCAGCATACATTGGAATGGTAAGTTTCTGATAAATATTTGGATATTCGATTATTTTCGGCTGACGCAAATACTAAAAATAACCAGTTATATATACGCTCATGAGAGTTATCAAAATATTGTGAGTAATTTTTGCAGTCGAAGGAAAAACGTCAATGAATTGATTTCCTCATTACAACAGAAATTTTAGTTGGTTCAAAGTACATAGTTAGGAAGCCGCGTATTCGTTTGTTGTAGGCTGGCAATATGCTGAAAAACAATACGGTGTTGATTTTGAGCATATGTCAATGCCGAATTAGCTGTCGGAGGTGAGTTGCTTAAAAGTAAGTTAGGTTGTATACAGAGGAACATATCAGCTATAGCTTAAAAGTATTTGAGAATTGACTCTGATGATAAATAACTTGCATAAAATAATAAAATCAATCGGAAATCCATCTGTCTTCACAAATTTGAAGTGCTTCGTTTTGCGGTGTTCTTATGTTCGCACTAAACTTACGACTATATTAAAGAATAGAATTATCAAAACATTGGTGACTTAATAGTGTTGCACACTACAACACAAACCTATTTCTGCAAGTTTTTGTTCAACCACGGTAGAATTTCCTTAGAGTTATTTTCGAAACAGGACAAGAAAAAAACCACAGGTATATTACGAATATTCATCGTATAGATGAGTTTTATTGTCTATAGAAAAACTAAGCATTTTGGGCATATAATATACAAAGTAAAAGCCAGCTAATTGATGAGTATTCCGTGATTTAATTACATATATATAATAAAATAAGTAGATTAAATTTATGTACAATTTTTTGTATGATTTAACTGATCTGCTTCTTAGTATTGTTTTTATGTGGGCTGTAGTTGATTATTGCACTGACCTATAGACATGAATGTATTTCTCAAACAAAAAGTTCTTTTTGATTTTTAGTATTATTGTAAAGAGGTGTTTTTCCAACAATTTTTCACGTTTGTCGAAGAATGTCTTTCTGCATCAAACGTTCATTGTGCCATTGTATTTACATTTCTCAGTGTTTTTATTAAGTTATTTATTTCTTATTTCTAATAAAAACACACCGATGTGATAATCATTATTTATGAACATGACATAGTTTTAATGCCAAATTCAAGATATATTTATTATGATATTTTGTTACAGTGACTTTGAGACAAAATGTTAAAGAAAAAATGCACCTGTGTTAGTTGCTATCAAACTCTATTTTTATGTAATAGTCATCCATATCATTGCTAAAATATTTTAACCAAATACGCATACAGATGCAGAAGCGCAAAGGCATAGAGAAAGGTAAATTTTCTTGCGAGATTGCAAATTAGATGATTACAGCTTATTTCAATGCCCTAGTTTTTTCTTTTGTTTTCCAAATTTGAAATCAATTTCATAAAGAATTGAGAGTTGAGTCGGTGTTTATTTTTTTTATTTTATTCACAGTTCTTGGAGACTTTGGCGATGGTCAACAGAAAGTTGGTGAGTTGCTGGTTTGAAAAAACAAATCAAAACAAAATGACTATAAATTAACTAAATACATCGCGATTTTGTTTTAGATCCATACACAATTGTTGCGACTTCTTTTCATTATAATGGGTCTTAGTAAGGAATGCGCCAATTGTATTTACAAACTAATGAGTTTCTAATTTGTTGTTTTGTTGTATTAAACTCATAGCCAGTAGAAACTTTAAACAAACTAAAATTTAACAAAGACTAAAATTTAACGCCTGGTATACCCTGGGAATACGAAATTAGCGACAAAGCCTCAGTTAATATATTATGTTATTTTGCAGTTTGATTTTAGGTATTTGATATCTATAGATGTATGGCTTTTAATGACAGAGGGAAAATCTTAAATGCTCCAAATAAAAAAATAGTATTTGGTTGCAGTCAGTGCTTAATAATTTTTTCGAATTTGTCTTGTATGCAGCAGAAAACATGACGTAATTATTTTAATTCGATCTGGACATTTAATCCCGGTTGTTTCTTCTTTAATGTTGACGTCAAAGTTTTGGTTTGTCAAGTGAACTCAAACAACTTGAAATTTTCAATTTGAATCGGTTATTTATGCTATTTTAGTATAGGACATTTATTTTAAACATGATTACTAAAATAATTTTACATGATTACTAAAATACAAATTTGTTCAGTTGCGGGTACGACATTTTATCATTATTTTCAACGTTAAGCGAAAGTGAGTTATCTTGAAAAAAGAACGAGAGAAACAATGCTTTAATTCTCATTCTCTATCCAAAATATCAGAGGTGAATAAATTTTCAATTTTTAAAATATAGCAATCTTCTATTCAATAAACAGTCCATAGTAATGCATATATCAAAGTTTTATCAAACGCTTTATTTATTCGAAATTTTTAAAATCATTTAATCAATGAATCATTCAATGAATCAATGAATTTTTGAATCCTTATTTCTAATATTATTTGAAGTTTGTATATTGTTCATCAAACGTTTCAATAAATATGTAATTATTATGATTTGAATCTGGATATCATGTTTTAAGGTTTTATTGTTCATCTAAATATGTATAATTTCTCCTGCAAATACCATAGTGATAATTTATTAGATTTGAAAATATAGACAACTGAAATTATTTTGTTTTAATTTTTATGAGGAAGATTTTAAGTCAAACAAAAATCGTTGGAGATTTGCTTAGTTTGAATTAAAAACTTCCAACACTTGTTCCCAATTTATATCAGTCTGAAGAATTATTACTGACAATTGAGATTTCAAATTTTGTCTCATCATCTAGTTTGGAATCATCTAGTTGGAAATTCTCATGCCCATACCTTTCTCTTGCCATTGCCTTTTCCAATAATAAACTAATGACTCTGATTTCACTTGACCGCTATTCTATGCAATTCCTTAAATTGTGATTCACATGTATGTATACATTAGAATATATGTATGTAAACGAACCCGCGTATAACGTGATATTCCTGCATGATCACAACACTACGAAATATTTTAATCTCTTTAGTTTAGTTATATTTTAAATTCAAAATTTTCTCTCAAATTTCCCAAGTTCACAGCCTTGAATGCAACCCGATCTCAGTCTGCTCCATTCCGCACTGTTCCACATTTTCGGTTTACTAGGACACTATCAATATAGCCAACCTTAATATATAAATAAAGGCAAGCTGATCAGTATCATGCTGAGGAGCTTTTTATTTGATGTCTGAATGAAACTATTCTCCGCGGAAAACACAAAGAGGGAAGACAGTTCACACAAATTAATTGATATTACTTATTTTATATTTCTTAGAAAATTTTCCCATTTTCTTTATATTGGCGAGGAATATGTGCATCAGAAACCGCCATTTTCGACAAAAATTATCAGACAAAGTCACTTCAAAAATTTTATTGCCAATTTTACTGTTTTGTTAGGATTTTAATAATTAATGATTTTTCATTATATTTTCCGGAAAATAAACTGATGTTGACGAGGTAAGTAGGTGCAAAAATTACAATACTATATACAATTTGATAAATAAATCTACATACATCAACGAAAAGAATATCAAAAAAATATTGAAAATTACCGTAACCGATTTATAACTTTTAATGTAGAACAATATAGTACTTTGCTGCTTGCGTCGACAAAAATGTAGAGTTTCAAACATTATCTCTGGCAATATAAGATATCAAAAATTCAAAATCAAGACTGTAAAATTGATATCCAATGAGACTATGTAGTCAAAGTATCCCATGCCTTCAAAGTTTTTAATTCGCGAAATCTTGAGGAGTGAGTACACATACAAGATGAGTATCACAGTATTATTACAAATCGTATATAGTGAATCGCTGAAGTGAGATTTCGCTCTTAATTGCCGGTAAAGCAAACGCATATAGATGCTTAAGTTGACAGAGATTCTTGAATATGAC